GCGTCTTCACAATCCACTCAAACATCCGCACTGTTAGAGAGCCGTTTTGAAATGACAGCAATCTTTAGCATAGACATGACATTTATACCTCAGTTGAGGAGGCAGAACTAAAGGAACAAAACCCGAATAAGCAGCGCAAAAGCCCCGTACAGAAATGTTATTGAAATGAGGGAGGGATTTAATGTCATGTAAAATATTCAAGCTTCTATAAAGCTAATAATCTTTGCTTTATTTAATTCAGGTTTGAATGTGGGCTTGCGTGTTGGAAGAAAAGCATCACATATTAAAGGTAGAAATTATTTATTTAACAGCTATGTTGCAAACAATAACTGTCAGTGTAGCAACAGCTAAAGACTTTGACGTCTGGGTGAATAACTATGTTTTTCCTGTGATGTGTTTACCCATCGAAAACCCTCTTGAGCGGCTTTTTTTTCTCATTCTCCAAAGCACAAAACATACCTAATATTTGATGCGTTGCGGTGACAGGAAAACAGTGGGGACAGTAGGTAGTGCTGCCAGTTTCTATTGCTTAACTCCATTAGCAAAAAGCTAAAGTTGTCATTCTGGTGTTGTGCTGTGTGAAAGGAAAAGAGGAAAAGGACTGAACTTAGCACAGAATTTTGGATTACAAGAAAGAGATGAAATAAAAAGTTAGGCTCTGTAGTTGTTCTGGCTTTTGGGAGGAAATATACAAGAAGGCCTGTTGATGTAACGTATTTATTTAACTGGAGTCACAATGGAACTCACCATAGTAACATGGTGAATACATCAAGATGATGGTACCATGAGACCAATTCAGCAATATCCATGTGATGTGGCTTCATGGAGGCTCCTGCTGGACAGCAAAGGCTGGGGAATATCAACAATTTTTCAAAATGTCAATGCTCATTTTGTGGTAATCGTTTAAAATCAATCCCTCTCACTTTCCAGTACACCTGTTGGGTTGACATCTATGTTACCAGTTTCCATTTAAGCTCAGCTAACCTAGTTTTTGTCACAATAATGGATGAAATGAGACATTCAGATGTTAATTTTGTCATTTGAGGTATAAAACTTTGCCAATCTCTCCCACACTTGCCTGCACTTTTGTGTCCATCATTGGTTGCCACTGTTTTTTCTGGCTTGGGCATATGACATCCATGCACTTAATTCTTCTCATAGCGTTTCGATTGGGGCTTTTCAAAGATTATATTTGTATTGTATTTTTTACAGCAGGAAACAATATCCGGATTTTTCCTAGCAGGAAACGTACGAGTCAACCTGATGTCAGCAGCAGGTCTATAAAACAAACCTGTAAAATTGATTACCACCTATATCAACTCATTATGTTCTCTTTGCATTACAGCAGTCTGTAGGTTACATAGCTAAACCAAAATAAGTTATTTTGTCCTCTGATATATGAGGTTTGCTTTAACATCTACTAACTGAAGCAATATTATACAATGACTGAAAATATTAACGTACGAACAAGTGTCAGGAGCTTTTTACATTTGCACTGGTTCTCTCTGGGCTTTTGTAAAACCACCCCTTGGTTTGATTTGACAACTGCTCATGTTGTCGACCACAAATTTAGTATTTATTGGCATTAGATTGATTAAATTGACCCTTACCCCAAAAATAAAGATTAATCTGTGATTTGCAGTATATGGGCTCCTTGACTTATTTAGTTTAGTGTACACATCATCTATCAAGACTTATCTGAACTATCTTAATTTATCTAGTTTAAAAAATATGTTTGCAGTGAGTTCTGTTTTTTTTTATGTTATACTAGATTTTAGAAAGGTATTGGTTGCCTTTTTCTAAAAAGAGAACAAACCCACATGTCATTAAATTGGGCTCATAACAATCCGATGAAATTAGAAACCATCTCTTTTTGCCATTCTGCAAACACTATTTACTTAGCAACTCTGATTGAATACCAATTATCAGAGCTGCCATCTGTGTTCATTTGCATGCTTTTTACAAACTCTAAAAAGCAGCTTGGTAGTTTTTTACCATTTTAGTGGCACCATAACACAGAGGTTAGGCTTTAAAAAAAGCCTAACCTCTGCAAGCAAGCAATGTGTTTAAAACTCTTGAGTTCTTCTTTAACTCTTTCATCAAGAAATCTTAAATTATCCTCAATCCTAATCAGTACTTGGTCTTGTCTGACAGAAAACAATGTTTCTGCAGATGGACATAGATTTAATGTTTTTAATAAGACAGCATCTTAAATTGCACCTCAGTGCATTTCTTTTGAGGTTTGGGGGAGTTTAACCCTCTTGTGGATAGTAAGATGTTTTTACGATGTGACAAAAGATCTATTTCAGGGCAAGCAAATAGTTGGAATCGTTATTATGTATGCTTTTATGTAAAGCGTTTGCTAAATTCATATTAACACTTCAATGAAATACTGCTCACTGGAAAACTTTTAACATTAGTTACGAAATAGGAACATGTTATGTGAACATGTGTTCTCACACCAGCATTTTTTAAGCTTTCATAATAGAACCTTGAAAATAAATTAAAATGACTGGGATTTTAGCTGGGATCCCCACACATTTAAAAAACAAGAATGGTACTCTTTGTGATAATCCAGAGTTTTTTCATACCCTTACAGCCCAGTCTCACAAAATATAACTGAAAAGCGGAACTCATTGTGGAATAATTTGGGTATATTATAATGTTTCAACCAATGGTATCCTCAATTTTAAATTTGAGTTTAGATTTATTTTAGGCTGACTGGAGCAGGTCAAATCAAGACCGACTTTTTGGAGAGGATGCAGTTTAAACTATCTGCTTTTCTCAAGAACTTTTGTACTATATACCTCTGTTATGAACTAAATACCTGTCCAATGTGTCTAGAGTCTCACTTTATGGACAATGGGACAGATACCAGCTCTTCACTAACCTGACCTCATCTTACTTTGCTGTATAAACTGCACAAACTGTAACTTACGGATGTTAACCAAATTTTGAGCCTGAAAGAGTATGCTAGTATGCCAACAATGTCACATTTCTCAAGTGTAAAGACAAAGGTCCTGCTTATTCTCTGCAACAGTGGGTACAGTGAATTAGCGGTAGGCTTTATTTAAAATGTAAAATACTTAGGTAAGACCTCAAGTCATATACTTGATCATGAATCGATACTGGAATATATCAAATCTGAATGCAGAGGCATACAGACTTTCTTGTTATTAGGTAAAATAATTATTTTGTTTCCCATCTAAACATTTCCTCTCTTTCTTGGTTTTCCTGTATTTAACCCCAGTATATGAATGTCAAAGTAGTGGTTGCTCAATGAAAATACAAAATGACTAGTGAGAGAGAATTAAAAAAAACAATACAACAGTACATAAAACACACCCTCCAAGCAGCATCACCAACTCCCTCTCGCTGCCTGCGTGCATTTCCCCACATTTCTCACAAGAAAATATATTTTCACGAGTTTAGTGCTTTTCTTCTCTTGTTCAGATTTCAGTGCAAACAAAAACACAGAAAATCCTGATAAAATATAATTTTCAAACATGTTGAGCCTCGGAAGGCTTATTTTACAGTAGTTTTTCATTGAAAAAGCAAATTTATTTACAAAGCGGCCTTTCTCTATTTGATATTAAATTTGCCCCTTTTTGAATGTTCTTAACATAGAATCAATTGAATTATTCAACCCATGTATTTATATTCATACAAGCCAGTAATTTCTCTTGCTTTTTGCTGTTGCTGTGCTGATGCACAATTTATTGTTAGTATAAACCAAATGGAAAGAAGAAATATTTGAACACCATCTTTTTCAGAAATTGCTTTTCAGTAATATTTACATATATATTTGTTTGATTTGTTTTTTCTACATTCAGTGAAGGCAAGTTGATGCAAAAAAAAAAGGCCAGCTATTGGAGATATCTTATTTATGCCAACTGTTCAATTGTCGGTTTTAGCACATAGCTTTACACTATAGAAATAAGGGGCTTAATCATTTAACTTCTGAGACGTTAAAAGATTAGTTTTACTCTGGAAAGAATGCTGAATTCAGATTAAACATGCTCTTGCTTGCATTGTTTTTATATATATCATAGGCCTTTGTTTAATCTCCGTTATTAATTAGTAATTTCTATTAAGTACTAAGAATTCCTAAAATCCTTCGAACGCAGCATTTTTCGAAAATTCAGATGCATATTATATTTCAAATTAAATATATATATATAAATCAAGTGAAATATTCCAAGTCAGAATAGATTCAAGTAAGCATCTTGCTTTTAACACTTCTGTCTAAAATGAATTAAATTTTATAGTGCAGAGCAACTCAAAGTGAATTTGAGCCGGACATGACCTGCAGCTTCTCTATTCCTCCCCCTGAAGACACTAGCCCTCGGTTCAATGCAAATTATACACTGGCGCCCCCTAAATGAACCCGAACAAAGTACAGACAGAAGCAAAAGCAGCAGCAGTGATTCTCTGTGAGATACCCGGGATGCCCAGCCGCTCTGAACCAACCCGGCTGGAGCGGCAGTACAGCTAGTGTCCAAATCCAAAAAGTTCATGGTATGCGCTGATTTCCAATAAAAAGGTGTGAGTACAGTGGCATAAATTAGAAAGATCTTTTGGAACATATTATTCATATGATTATTAATAAAACTTCTAAACAACAACAACAATAACAACAATAATGATAATAATAATAACGATGATAATGCTAACAATAATAATAATAATAATAATGATAATAATAATAATAATAATAATAATAATAATAATAATAATAATAATAATAATAATAATAATAATAATAATAATAATATTTAGTTTTGATCTCTTAAAAAAAAATCTTTCTGAAGCTCATTTTTTCCTCAGTTGCTTCCGAGCATCCCCTGCTTAAATGTCACTTTATACCAACTCAACCACCAACTATTGTCATTTAAATCACAATAATAACGGGAGGGGGTGAGACGGGTCTTTATCCCCCCTGCACTACATAAATTGCATCAAATGACAGTCGGCCAGTGAAGAGTTAAAGGGAGGAGACGGAGAGTGACACGCCTCATTGGGTGGATTATGTGCCGCAAACAAAAAGTGTGTGTCTGTGTGCCAGTCAGCCAGAGCATCGGGCCCCATCTGCACGCTTATATCTCACTCTCTGTCTGCTTTTACCCGACCGGCTCAGTGTGCCCGGCCAGTATCTGCAGCAGGAGAAGCGGCAGTGCTGTAATTTTCACCGCTCCGGGGGGGTGGAAATGTACTGATCGTAAACAGCGCAAACCCGGAGCGCAACACTATCTCCATAATTTTTAATTGAATCCCCCTGATTATTTTTTTGGACCTTTTCTTTTATATCTCTCCTTTTTCCCTCTCTCTCCTTTGGGTGCATACTGGTTTTTTCGGTCACAGCGTCGCTCTCAACTCTTTTGTGGATTATTACGCGTCCTTATCGACAGACAGGTAGGTTTTGAGGAATTAAATATCCGTGGTATTGCTAGTTTTGGAGGATTTTGAGGTGGAGGTGTTGTTTGTTCGCATGGGAAGAACGTTGGGGAGGGGGGAAGAAATCGGATGCAGATGTTTCAGGGCAGACGCAGTTTCGGCCAAAGCGCAGATTTCAGGACAGTTTTGTTCCTGGCACTGAATTAGCAGATGGGTTAACCCCCCCCCCCCCCCCCCCCCTCCTTCCCTCACCAGTAGTTTGTTTGAATGGGAGGGCGGCTGCCTTTATTCCAGTTGAAAAACCCTGCAAGTCTGCCGCTTTTACTTATTGGAGCTTTACCATGCGCCTTTCATCCAAGTCAATTTTTTTGCGCCGGTCCCTGTTCGTGGACTTGGTTTTCTGTTTGTATGTCACTGGAAGAAAATCGCGTACGTTGAGAAAGACGCTTTTGGAAGACTCAGGGTGTATTTTTTTGTCCCACACAGAACATTTCTATGGCCTTGAGTTTAAAATCGTTGTTCCTATAAAGCAGAAGTTAATTGATCTCTTTCATTGAAGAAACATTCTTAAAGATTTAAATAAGAATTAAAGCGTTTCTTTTTACCACCAAACAAGAAACCACTGTTTACCTGCTTCGAATGTTAACCCATGTTCTGTCTGCAGCTGTTATACGTTTTTTAAGAGATGCTTAAAAATCCCTTCTCCCTTGTGATGTGCACATAAGAACAAATGAACATTAGGTGGAATAATAGATTTTTTTTATTTATTAGAGGGCTGATATGATTCTGCTTAAGCCGTGTTACGATCGGGGTTCATAAGGATTCATTTTATGTCTCAAAAGACAAATGGGGAAAATGCATCCCAGTAAATTGTACCGTAAGGTAACGAAATGACGACATAAATAAATAAGCCCTAAATGCATCAATTTCAAGTTATTATTTTTCTAAATAATCTTCAGTGTCTTAAAAAAATATTTGTGAATCTGTGATTTACCCAAACACGGACCAAATTATAATTCATTTTTATTATTTGAGGAAATACTGACTGACATGAGACTTTTTTTTTTTTTTTTTTACATTTCACTTGGTATTTAAAATGTTTTCGTCCCCGCACCGCCGCGCATCAGGTTCCCGTGCACAGTCAGCTGTATTTAACATCAGAGAAAGAGGGAGGAGAGGAGTGAATAAACACATTCAGAGGTTAGAAAGAGAGAAAAGAAATAATTAACTGCTCGTGCTGCTTTAATTACAGTCTCGGAGGGGAAAGTGGTGGATTATGGTAATGAGGCGACATACGCTGCCGCTTGTAGGAAGGAGAGAAAGGTTGGCTGACATGAAATCACTGACTTTGACGGTCCACTTGAAACCCATTGGACATGCTCTCCCCACTTAGGCATGCACGAACCTCACGATTTCCAACTGAGAGCGCATTCTTTATTCTGTTCGGTCGGTGTAAACACTAAAATTGCTATTGTGACTGAGAAAGAAAAAGGAAAAAAATCTCTAAAGGAGCGCGTAATTTATAGAGTGTTTAACAATAATACTAAAAACGCTCTAAATCACTTGTTTTGTTCAACTAACCGCCGTAATATTAAAAGAATATCATGTTTGCTTTGAATACAGCTGATGATGAGGCTTACAGAACAGGCCTCTAAATGTCCATAATAAGAATTAAAAAAATAAGAACAGAATAGGATTAGGAAAAAGTAATATTTTCACAAACATTTATAAGTAGGCTAAGGAAAAGAGTAAAATAGCCCTTTACAGCCTCCAGTTCAAACAATATAATCAGTATTATTACTACTATATTATTTACCGATTTTTCTTTTTTTATCATAATATCACAGAATTTTTAAAACAGCGTCATCAACATGCTGAGGCCGTCCTGAAATCATGGAGGGGATGAATAAATTAAAAACCTGAAAAAAAAGAGGAAGAAAGACCCTTGGCAGCTGGTTTCGCCAATCTGTCACTATGTCTCCTAGACAGAGAAGGCTGAATCTAGTAATCAATAATTTTATCTCAAACTTGTTAATTATTTACTGTGATTTAAGATCTTAGAATATCGTTTACGCTTTAAGAGAAAAAAGGTGTTTCTTCTCCGTTTAAAATATCTTATTTCCTGTCCATTTCGCATATCGTAAAGTGTTTTCGTTGTTTTATTTTTCAGGGCGAAATGGAGGAATCCAGCTCGCAGAAGTTGGCGTGGGATGGGGACGCCAAAGCTGTTCAGCAGTGTCTGACGGACATTTTTACCAGCGTCTACACGACGTGTGACATCCCAGAGAACGCCATATTCGGGCCTTGCGTGCTGAGCCACACGTCGTTATATGACAGCATTGCTTTCATAGCTCTGAAATCCACCGACAAACGGACAGCACCTTACATCTTCAGGGTGAGAAAAATATTTATTTACAGGTTAAATTGCACAACTTTTAACATCTGATGCTCAATTACTTATTAAATTTGACCAGTTTGTATCGATCAGGTTCAGTTCAGATACACCATATACAATATCTATCTATCTATCTATCTATCTATCTATCTATCTATCTATCTATCTATCTGTGTGTGTGTGTGTGTGTGTGTGTGTGTGTGTGTGTGTGTGTGTGT